TGGGAATGTAAACTAGTTCAACCATTGTGGAAAGCAGTATGGAGGTTCCTCAGAATGCTCAAAATAGAAATAGCATTTGACCCAGGAATTCCACTTCTAGGAATTTACCCTAAGAATGCAGCACTCCAGTTTGAAAAAGACAGATGCACCCCTATGTTTATCGCTGCACTGTTTACAATAGCCAAGATATGGAAGCAACCTAAGTGTCCATCAGTAGATTACTGGATAAAGAAGATGTGGTACATATACACAATGGAATATTGCACAGCCGTAAGAAAAAAACAGATCCTACAATTCGCAACAACATGGATGGAGCTAGAGGGTATTATGCTCAGTGAAATAAGCCAGGCGGAGAAAGACAAGTACCAAATGATTTCACTCATACGTGGAGTATAAGAACAAAGGAAAACTGAAGGAACAAAACAGCAGCAGAATCACAGAACCCAAGAATGGACTAATAGTTACCAAAGGGATAGGGACTGGGGACGATGGGTGGTAAGGGAGGGATAAGGGCGGGGAAAAAGTAAGAGGGCATTACGATTAGCATGTATAATGCGTCGGGGGCACGGGGAGGGCTGCACAACACAGAGAAGACAAGTAGTGATTTTACAGCATCTTACTATGCAGATGGACAGTGACTGTGAAGGGGTATATGTGGGGGACTTGGTGAAGGGAGAACCTAGTAAACATAATGTTCTTTCTGTAATTGTTGATTAATGATACCAAAATAAATAAAATAAATAAAATAAATAAAAAGGGGGAAAAAACAAAACAAAGGCTAAGAGACACTGCTCTGAAAAGTAACCATAGCTGTCATTTACACTGCTCTTGGAAATGCATGGTACTGTTCTAAGTAGCTTTTTTCTTATGCAGTTGTTACCTTATTTATTCTGAAGAATCCTACAAGGCAAGTCCTTCGATTATACCCATTTTATGGAAGAGGAAACTGGGGCACAACAGTTAGGTAACTTGCCCAAGGTCATTCAGCTAGTAAATTATGGAGCTAAGATTAAAACCCAGGCCTCTGGCTTTAGAGTCTGTGCTGAAAAGGCAAGGAGTTGAATGGGTAGAATGACAAGAGGCAAATGCATTGAGGGTGCCAGCAAGGATGGGTAAAGAAAGGGGGAATGAGAGAGGATCTAGACTGGTCAGAAGAAAAGTAGGAAGAGGCTACTAGGCTGGAAGAAAATGAAAGGGCCTACAGAACAGAGTTCAGGGAGCTAAAATTAGTAATGAGAGGAGACCCAAGATGACTGGGAGAACATGGTCAGAGTGAGAACTGTGGTGGGTAGATGCCAGCGAGGTGGGGGAGTCATTCCAGGGCATGACATCACAAGATTAATTATGTGGCCTTAGACAGAGTTGGTTAAAGTAGAGAGGAGGTAAAGTTCCCTGGAGTTGAGCAGATGAAGGAATCATGAAGCTGAACCCACAGATTCTCCCAAGATTGATCGATTGGTTGATTGGTTTATTCGTATTGAGTGTCTAGTACATGCCAGGCAGTGTTTTTGGCAATGGGTCGCCGAGAAGTGAAGCAGCAGGTCAAGCGCTTGCCGCCATGAGGCTTACCTTCCAGCAGGGGGAGAAGTACACACTCACTCACAGCAGCGAGGGTTGGCTAGACACAGCTCAAAAGCCTTCGGGCATGATTCCACAATGCTCAAAGTTCTGAGAAGCAAAAGGTTGTTTTTTCATACCTTGGAGCCCAAACTCATTAGGTGACAAGACCTGACCTGAAGCAGTGTAAGGATATTTCTAGTCTTGATTCACACTTGCACCAATTTTCATACTTTTCACTCTAGAAATATTAATGTTTAATTTTAAGTGATGCTCCAGACCTTTCTCCATAGTTATTTAATATAGGGTATATGCAGTAAATAGAGTCACGTAACAGAGTATATGTCTTCCTTTCTAAAACTGAAAAAATTCTGAATTCCAAACGCATCTGGCCCCAAGGTTGGAAAAAAGATTATGGAAAAAGTGCTATGCAGCAAATTCAAATATGCAACGGGTTTGTTCACAAACAGGTCCCCATACAAGGAGGGCAAGGAAAGGTCAAAGAAAGAGGCAGGCTACTCCAAATGGGTATGAGGCAGGTTTAATAAGCAAGGGAACTTACAGGAGAGGCTTGTCTTGGGTGGTCACAAGTAGATTTCTGCACTAGCCTTCCAAATCTTAAAAGTTTATATTGAAGCCTTAATTGGAGTTAGTCAGTTATTCAGTCCAGATGGTCTTAACAACACTTTACTTCCTTAGGACTGTGTTCTTGAAGCTCTAGCTGTGGAAATGGTAGGGAGAGCATACATTCCAAGAACAAGGGAGAGGGAGGAGAGCAGATTGTCCAGGTCCTGTTCATGGGTCATCCAGTCGTTACATCACATCCCCATGACTTCCTTCAACATAGCAGGATAATAACTAGGTTATTGAGTGGTCAGGGAGAGAAGGTGACATTCAAGCTTAATTCTGGATGACAAAAATATGGCAGTCATGCAAAGATCAAGGGGAGAGCATTACAAGCAGAGGGAACAGCTAATGCAAAGATGAACACAAACAAGCTACTGTGGCTGGAGCATATTGATGAAGAGTTCTATAAATTACTGAGAGGACTTCATGTAGTCAGAGAGATTGTGAATATGGTACTAAATTCTTTGATGAATATGATGTAGTGACCGTGAGTATGGCGGTTGTGGTGGTTGTCAACAACTTGGAGTCCCAGAGGGAAGTCATCCTGGGTGGGAAAGCACAGGGGAGAGACTTCAGATAGAGGAAACATAAGGCTGATTGGGGCTGAAAAATCAGACTACGGTTTATTGCCTAATGACCTTGGTTTGGGGAAAAGTATAGTAGGAAATCAGATTAAGTAGTTTAGGTGGGCTCAAGATTCTAATTAGGATGCTGGTTTAAAGATGTTCTAGGATGACAAAAGGCTTAGGTCTTAAATGACAGTCTCTGGTTGAGGTTCAATCCTCAATGTGTGATCTAGGACTTTGGCTTTAAAACAGGTTAGACACAGACAGAAGGCAATAGCAAAGGTTGAATTGATAAAAGATGTTTTTGCTTCTCTGTTTATGCCTCTCTGGGCTTGGGCTTCTCTGCAGCTCTCAGAATGTCTGTCTCCTAGTGGCTTTCCACATCCATATCTCTGCGACCCTACCTGGCATCTCTGTTCTTCTCAATATCTTCCTCAACATATTTCTCTCTAGTGGTTCTCATAATCTCCATCTTTGGATATCCATGTCTGTGTCTCAGAATCTGGTACTCTATTCCGTCCTTTGTGTCTGTACTATAATTATCTTTTTTTCAAGTGAACTGTGCCTTTCTGGAAGGCATGAACCTTTTAATATTCCTCTGGGGATCCCCAGGGCCCCGCGCAGACCCTGGCATATAGGAGTCTCTCTGATAATTTTATACTTTAATGAGGGCTTTTCTGAGTAAGGGACACACTCTTGTTCTCCAGTCGCGGAGCTGGCCGCCTGCCCAAAGGCCGGCCAGAGAGTCTGGCGGAGAGTGTGGTGGTATTGCGCTGCTGCTACTGGGCTGTTTCCCCCACGTAAAATAACTGGGAGCACCTTGCCAGGGGCCCGCCCTCTCGGTAGGGGACCCAAGCAGCTGGCATTCGCCCCAGCGTCCAGCGCAGCCTACCGCTTCCTCGCCGGCCCCGCCCCGCGACACCGCCTCGCCCAATCAGCTATTGCACGACAGCCCGGCCCGTGCGGAAGCCTGGGCAAGATGGCTGCTGCGTGGAGGAGCGTGAAGGTATCCAGGTTTTCGCCCCTGCTGCTGCTTGCCCCGCTGCACCGGCTGGGACAGTGCGGCCGTGGAACTGGGGAAAAGAGATCGGTGCAGGAGAAAGGGTCACACTTATTTAGGCCTGGTATTGCGGCGGTTGGGCGCGGGACGGGAAGGTCAGTTGTCTGCAGCACAGTCTGAGTTGACTGGATGGGCTGCCCAAGGATGAGACGAGACACTCAGAGGTCCCATCGGTCAGGAGAGGAGGCACATCTGGGCCACATTTCACGGGTGACTAGGAGCCTCCCTTGCAGATGCCTGGAGAAGGGACAGATGATAGGGTGGGGGTGGGCGGCACAGTGTAGTGGGTTGACCATGCCCCTCTTCACAGGGCCTGGTTGCCGTGATAACTGGAGGAGCCTCGGGCCTTGGCTTGGCCACAGCGGAGCGACTTGTGGGTCAGGGAGCTGCCGCACTGCTTCTGGACCTGCCCAATTCAGATGGGGAGGCCCAGGCCAAGAAGTTAGGGAAGAACTGTGCCTTTGCCCCAGCCGACGTAAGTGGGGTCTCCTCAGCTCTCCCAGGGGACGCATGAGGTCACAGGCACTGCATCTGAATCCATGGGGGTGGATCCCCTCCCATAAGGGTGCTGTCTCTGTGGGCGGTGGATCCATCTCCTTGTCCCTTTTGTCCTGAGCTGTTTGTCAAGTGCTGTGGGAGCACCTGCAGTAAGGAATGTCCTGTCAGGACTCACAGTAATGGCAATGGAGATTGGACATATCAGAATCTCCTGGAGGGTATCCTGTAATTTTATATTTTACAAAGTCAAAAGTCTTTTTAAGAAACAAGCTACAGAAAGTAAAGCTTGATGAAATTAGGTAGGGCACGAAAAACCTAGTTTCTCTTCATATCAGTAATTCTCAAAACTGCTCTAATCCATGGCAACTGAGAATCTCCAGAGCTGTGTGAGTTTATCAGAAGAGGGTATAGATGTGAAGAACATTTGAACATTGCTCAACAGTACCTAACATTTTCATCTTTGCCCCACTCTCAAGTTGCCACTTGATTACACAATTCTGTTGGCACTCAAGACTGGACCTGCCCTCCCTTCCCCTCCCCCAGGTTTAGTGGTGAGTGTGTGCTGGGAGGTGAATAACTCTTCCCTTTGAAAAGGTGACCTCGGAGAAGGACGTGCAAGCAGCTCTGACTCTAGCAAAAGAAAAGTTTGGCCGTGTGGATGTGGCAGTCAACTGTGCAGGCATTGCTCTGGCCATCAAGACATATAACTTAAAGAAGAACCAGGCCCATGCCTTAGAGGATTTCCAGCAAGTTCTCAATGTAAGGCCTTGGAGGTTCTCTAGGGGCAGGAGTAAGAGATATCTGATTGTGGGTGCCCCCAAAGCTTTTAGGGGACAAAAGGTTGCCTCTGCCTCAGTTCCCACACCTGTCTCTACTCGTCTCCAGGTGAATCTCATGGGCACCTTTAATGTGATCCGCCTGGTGGCTGGTGAGATGGGTCGAAATGAACCAGACCAGGGAGGCCAACGTGGGGTCATCATCAGCACTGCCAGTGTGGCTGCCTTTGAGGGCCAGGTGTGTAGGCAGGGACAAGGCTTGTGCCTCTTTGGTGACTTGTTGGGGCCCTCCCACCTATGACCTCCACTCCTTCTCCAGGTTGGACAAGCTGCGTACTCTGCTTCCAAGGGGGGCATAGTGGGCATGACACTGCCCATTGCTCGGGATCTGGCTCCCATGGGTATCCGGGTGATGACCATTGCTCCAGGTAGACATATCCTCTCTCTACCACACCTGGGATTGAGTGGGATCCATGGGCATTGAGAGAGGAAAGTATCTACCACCTAAGCAGCAACAGCCCATCATCTCTGGGCATAGGGAAGCACCACAGGTCCGGCTAAGGTGAGAAAGGATTGGGGAAATATGAAAGCAAGGGTGGATTTCTGACTCTGGCTGTCTCATCTAGGCCTGTTTGGCACCCCACTGCTGACCAGCCTCCCAGAAAAAGTACGCAACTTCCTGGCCAGCCAGGTGCCCTTCCCTAGTCGACTGGGTGACCCTGCTGAGTATGCTCATCTGGTACAGGCCATCATCGAGAACCCATTCATCAATGGAGAGGTCATCCGGCTGGATGGGGCCATCCGCATGCAGCCTTGATGGAGAGGGCAGAGAACACGAGCTCCTGCTGCTGCTTGCCCTGCAGTCCTGTACTCCACCTTGGGAGGAAGCTCAGTGGCCATTTTGTAACTGCCCACTTGTCACACTATGTGCCTAATAAAGTCTTATTTCTCACAGAGAGTGGGCAGCACTATGTGCTGGGGGAACTCACATGGCGAAGAAAGACCAATGGGCGAAGACTGACAGCATCAGATGCTCAGAGCCCAGGGGTGGGGCAGGAAAGGCAGCACCTCACACCCTTTGTGTCCTATTACAACAGGTGGCCTTGATTTTAGTGAATAATTTTATTACCGAGGGTCGAAGGTGGGGGTATTGGCTCAGCTCCTCCCGAGGGTATGTAGCATTATCCTCTTTGACTTACAGCCTCTGTGAGCTTGTTGGTAGGGAAGGGAGCAATTACCATCCTGAGCTCAGGATGTAGAACTGGAGGTAATACTGGGCTATAGGTTGGTTGGTGTAGATTAACGAATTCAGGTAATTCTGCCTGTGAAAGAAGTGCAGAGGCCTCAGCTGATGGGTGTTCCCTCTCTCCCTAGCCCTTGCCATCCCTCCTCTCTCCCCCATGGCATTCATCCCTGCTGCCACCCCCTAGAACTCACTGGGTTTTTTGCTCCTGAGCCAGCTGCTGGTTGAAGGAGCCCAGCCCCCTCTCCTGCTCCTCCAGTTCCTTTATTGCCTGGGCCAAGTTTATGGCCTGGTTTTTCCATTTGGTATCCAGTGTTGTTTGGCCTGGCGCTGTGCTTCCTTTTCCTGGCATTGTACCTCCTGGACTTTACTGATGGCGGCTCGCTGCTCTGGACTCATGCCCTTCCAGTAACAGGGCAAGACCTGGTGGGGAGCTGCAGGATGTTGAGTTACCTGGGGGATCTCAGTTAGGAGGTTGCCCATGATCCAGTTTCTGGATCTCCATGTGGTTGGTCTCCTGTTCACTCAGATGCTCTTGATGCTGCCACTTAGCCAGTTCAGCTGCCTGGGTGGGGGTAGGCCCTGAATGTGAGCCTTTGGGTGCCCAACCTCAGGGAACTCTCAGTCACAGAGGAGGGGGAGACAAGGCCCTACCCATCTCTATCTCAGAGAGACAAGAAACAGGTATTTTGAATGACCTAAGGTGGAGGGAGGGGTATAATGAAATTCCCTGCCCTCTGGAAGCCTATGGACTGAGAGGCTGTGAAGGGAGGGCAGCATTCTGTTCTCTAATCATCCTGAGTCTGGAGGCTGTGGAGGGGCATATTCTGGCGTAAGAGGGCCCTTAGTTCAGTGAAGGGGGAGTCCTTAGACAGATGAGGGCTGTGTTGATTCAAGAGGGGTTATAAGGGGACAGATGTGACCAAGGTTCTCCAGGACTTTGTTCAGAGGGTTGGGGAGAGCCTGACACACTGGAAGGCTCAGGCCATACCCGGGATTTGTTGGCTTTGGCCATGGCAGACATCATGGCCATGCAACAGGACTCCTCCAGCTTGGCCAACTGGGTGGCCCGCATGTCCATGGCTAGGTGCAGCTGGTCACGGAGCACATCTGTACAGAGAAATATGGCCAGGGCACTGCACTAACCTGCCCCATCCTGGTTCACTCAGCCATTTGTTCAACAAGCTTGGTGGATATGTGCATATATGTTGGGAAGGGAGTAATGTTCTATTTGTAAGGATGTGGAAGGAGCTACTCTTTGGGGCTACAGATAGCTAAAGTGGCAGCAACAAGGATTTCTCATGGGCCTAACAGAGAGATGCCTCCAATGGACCCAGGGCTATTGCTCCTGAGCTCTGTGACCTTGGGGAAGTCCTTTCATTTCTCTGAGCCTTGGTCTAAGGGCCATGTGTTAGGTTCTGAGGACACTATAGAATTATATCCTGTCCTCAGCTCCCTGTCTGGTGAGGGAGACAGCTCAAACACAGATAATAAGATGGTAAAGGCAATGACAAGAGAGGTATACAGGGCACTGTAGAGCTTTGGGTGGTGGGTGAGAGGAAGACTTCCAGGAGGAGGTGATCCTTGAAATACATGTTGCAAATAGGCAGTGAGAGGAAAGGGAATTTCAGACTGTGGGCACAGCATTAGCAAAGGTACTGACACTTGGTTTCAATTTAGCCACACTGGCCTCATTGCTATTTCTAGAACATGCCAGACACTCTTGCCTCAGGGATTTGTCATAGATGTTACTTGGTGCTCTCTTGCTTCCCTCAGGTCTTTGCTCAAATGTCAACACCTCAGTGACACCTTCCCTGTCTCTCCTATCTAAAATTGCAATGTGCCTGCTCCAACTTATCCCCCTTTCCTGATTAATTTTTTTGCCTAGCATTTGTCACCATCTAATATACTCTACCTTTTACTTGTTTTGTCTATTGCCTGTCTCTCTCCTCCCTAGAAGGTAACTTCTGTGAGGATAGGGATTTTTCTCTTCTTTTTTTTCACTACCATGTCCCAGCACCTACATCAGTGCTCAATAAATATTTGTTAAATGAGTGAAGGAAAAATCAAACAGTATGGTCTGTATCTTAAACTACAAATAGTCTGCTCTTGCTGGAACATAAAATGTAAGTGGCTAGGGGGCTTTTTACTGACCAGATTAAGGGCCAGAATCTTGCCCTGAAGGTGGTAGGGAACACAGAAGGGTTTTAAGCAAAGGGGTGACATGGTTAGATTTGCCTTTTAGAAAGCTTCTTCTAGTGGCCAGTAGAAAGAACAGTCAGGCAGGTGGGAGACAATGGAGGTAGAGAAGCCAGCTTGGAGGCTATAGGTCAATTGGGAGGGCTTAAAGTGGGACAGTGATGGAAAGGATAGAGGGGAAATGTATAGGTGGTTACACCAGCAGTACTTGATGGATTGCATGAGGGAATAAGGGACAGCAAAGACTGAGGGATGCTTCTTAGGGTCCTGGTTTGAATGACTGGGTGTATGATGGGCTACCACCGAAAGTAGAAAATACAGAATGAAGAGCAGGTTAGGGGGCACTGATGAATTCTGTTTAGGAAGCTGGGTTGGAGATGGTTAGGGGGCATCTGGATATCTGATTCTTCAGGTAGAGAGTCCTCAGCACAGAGGTGGTGACATGGTGGCTGAAACCAGAGTAAGGGCTGACAGCACCTGAAGTTAAGTATGCAGAGTAGGGAGAGCAGTGTGCCAGGAATAAAGTCTCAACAAGGAAGGAGTAGAAGGAAGAGGAGCCCACAAAAGGCAGATGGAGAAGGAATGGTCAAAGAGCTTTGAGCAAAATGTGCTGTCACAGAAGCCAAGGAAGACAGAAGTTCAAGGAGCAAGATGTGATCAGAGTCAAGTGTAGCAAGAAAGGTCTAGTCAAGGAGAAAAGACTAAAAAGAGCCTCTTGTACCTGATGTCACAAAGTGAATCGGTAATTTTAGTAGAGCAATGTCAATGAAGTTGTGTAGGGAGAAATGAGATCTCAGGAGGTTGAGGTGTGTCTGGAAAGTTAGGGAGAAAAGACATCAAGTGGAAGCAGGTGTTTCCAAAAGTATGACTGTAAAGAAAAACAGCCAGCTCACAGCATCTAGTGGGATCACAGGGTGGAGGGAGGCTTTTGTTTTTTTTTAAGATGGGTTAGACGTAAGCATGTTTACAGCCTGCACAGAAGGGGCCAGTGGAAGGGGAAATGTTGGGAACACAGAGAAAGGGAGACCTGAGGGAGCACAGCCTGGGGTGGGGCAGGGAGAAGGGTCCAGAGCAAAAGTTGAAAGCTTGGCTTTACAGAGGCACAGGGACATGGACTTCAGAGACTGGAAGGCAGCAGGGAAGACATGGTAGGGGTGCGTTGTTTCATTTCACTCGTCTCTTTTCCTAAAGAAAGGAAAGGATCAGCCCTATTTTTCAGATGGGGACACTGAAAGGTCCAGAGGGGAAGTAAAATACCCAAGGTCAAACAACAGGCAAGTAGTAGATTGGGATTTCAATCTAGGTCTCTTGAGGAATCAGCCCATGTGCCTTCTGTTACACCACATAGACACTCCTTCAGTGTTCTGCTGTCTCTGTTGCCTTGCTCTGCCTTCTTGTACATCTGCCTGCTGCCACTGGGCAGCTGGCCCCACCATGCCACTGCTAGTACTATGACAAAAATCAAATACTCCTCATTTCCAAGTCCAATAGACAGGTTTCTGTTCCTATCTGGACTTCTCCAGGGTGTTTGACATTATTGATGACTCCCTCTCTGAAATGCCTCCCATGGCCTCTGAGTACCCACTTTCCCATGGTGACAGAGAGCAGTCCAGCAGGGCACAGTGGTCAAGAGCACAGGTTCTGGGAGCCAACCTGCCTGAGTTCACTTCCCACTTTCATCACCGACTAGCTGTATGACTTTGAACAAGTTCTGTAACATCTCTGTTCTTCATGTTCCTCTGCTGAAAATTGGTGTGATACGAGGACTTCAGTACTTGCCTCATGGAGTTGTTCCAAAGATTAAATGAGATAATATATCATAGAAAACTCAGTGTCTGGTAGACAGTAAGTGATCAATAAAGGTTAGCCATTGCCATTATTCTTATTTTTTATTCATTTTATTGTCATTAATCTACAATTACATGAATAACGTGTTTACTAGACTCCCCCCTTCACCAAGTCCCCCCCCACAAACCCCATTACAGTCACTGTCCATCAGTGTAGTAAGATGCTGCAGACTCACTACTTGTCTTCTCTGTGTTGCACAGCCCTTTCCGTGACCCACCACATTATACATGCTAATTGTAAGGCCCCCTTTCTTTTTTCCTGCCCTTATCCCTCCCTTCCCATGCCTCCTGCCCAGTCCCTTTCCCTTTGGTAACCATTAGTCCATTCTTCGGTTCTATGATTCTGCTGCTGTTTTGTTCCTTCAGTTTTTGTTTGTTCTTATACTCCACATATGAATGAAATCATTTGGTACTTGTCTTTCTCCACTTGGCTTATTTCACTGAGCATAATACCCTCCAGCTCCATCCATGTTGTTGCAAATGGTAGAATCTGTTTTTTTCTTATGGCTGAGTAATATTCCATTGTGTATATGTACCACTTCTCCTTTATCCATTCATCTACTGATGGACATTTAGGTTGCTTCCATTTCTTGGCTATTGTAAATAGTGCTACGATAAACATAGGGGTGCACCTGTCTTTTTCAAACTGGAGTGCTGCATTCTTAGGGTAAATTCCTAGAAGTGGAATTCCTGGGTCAAATGGTATTTCTATTTTGAGCTTTTTGAGGAACCTCATACTGCTTTCCACAATGGTGGAATGAATTTGCATTCCCACCAGCAGTGTAGGAGGGTCCCCCTTTCTCCACATCCTCGCCAACATTTGTTGTTTGTCTGTTGGATGGTGGCGATCCTTACTGGTGTGAGATGTTATCTCATTGCGGTTTTAATTTGCATTTCTCTGATGACAAGCAATGTGGAGCATCTTCTCATGTGTCTGTTAGCCATCTGAATTTCTTCTTTGGAGAACTGTCTATTCAGCTCCTCTGCCCATTTTTTAATTGGATTATTTGCTTTTTGTTTGTTGAGGTGTGTGAGCTCCTTATATATTTTGGATGTCAACCCTTTATCAGATCTGTCATTTATGAATATACTCTCCCATACTCTATTGATGTTCTATTGATGGTGTCCTTTGCTGTACAGATGGTACTCCACCATGTTCTATTGATGGTGTCCTTTGCTGTACAGAAGCATTTCAGCGTGATATAGTCCCACTTGTTCATTTTTGCTGTTGTTTCCCTTGCCTGGGGAGATATGTTCATGAAGAAGTCGCTCATGTTTATGTCCAAGAAATTTTTGCCTGTGTTTTTTTCTAAGAGTTTTATGGTTTCATGACATACATTCAGGTCTTTGACCATTTCAAATTTACCTTTGTGTATGGGGTGAGACAGTGACCCAGTTCCATTCTTTTACATGTAGCTGTCCACTTTTGCCAGCACCACCTGTTGAAGAGACTGTCATTTCCCCATTGTATATCCATGGCTCCTTTATCATATATTAAGTGACCATAAATATTTGGGTTAATGTCTGGAGTCTCTATTCTGTTCCACTGGTCTGTGACTCTGTTCTTGTGCCAGTACCAAACTGTCTTGATTACTGTGGCTTTGTAGTAGAGCTTGAAGCTAGGGAGCGAGATCCCCCCAACTTTATTCTTCCTTCTCAGGATTGCTTTGGTTATTCGGGGTCTTTGGTGATTCCATATGAATTTTTGAACTATTTGTTCTAGTTCGTTGAAGAATGTTGTTGGTAATTTGATAGGGATTGCATCAAATCTGTATATTGCTTTGGGCAGGATGGCCATTTTGACGATATTATTTCTTCCTAGCCAAGAGCATGGGATGAGTTTCCATTTGTTAGTGTTCTCTTTAATTTCTCTTAAGAGTATCTTATAGTTTTCAGGGTATAGGTCTTTCACTTCCTTGGTAAGGTTTATTCCGAAGTGTTTTATTCTTTTTGATGCAATTGTGAATGGAACTGCTTTCCTGGTTTCTCTTTCTATTAGTTCATTGTTAGTGTATAGGAAAGCCACAGATTTCTGTGTGTTAATTTTGTATCCTGCAACCTTGC